TGTGCAGACTGTGTGCAGGTCTGTGGGCATGCCTGTGCAGGTCTGCAAGCTGTGTGCAGACTGTGTGCAGGTCTGTGGGCATGCCTGTGCAGGTCTGCAAGCTGTGTGCAGACTGTGTGCAGGTCTGTGGGCATGCCTGTGCAGGTCTGCAAGCTGTGTGCAGACTGTGTGCAGGTCTGTGGGCATGCCTGTGCAGGTCTGCAAGCTGTGTGCAGACTGTGTGCAGGTCTGTGGGCATGCCTGTGCAGGTCTGCAAGCTGTGTGCAGACTGTGTGCAGGTCTGTGGGCATGCCTGTGCAGGTCTGCAAGCTGTGTGCAGACTGTGTGCAGGTCTGTGGGTATGCCTGTGCAGGTCTGCAAGCTGTGTGCAGACTGTGTGCAGGTCTGTGGGCATGCCTGTGCAGGTCTGCAAGCTGTGTGCAGACTGTGTGCAGGTCTGTGGGCATGCCTGTGCAGGTCTGCAAGCTGTGTGCAGACTGTGTGCAGGTCTGTGGGCATGCCTGTGCAGGTCTGCAAGCTGTGTGCAGACTGTGTGCAGGTCTGTGGGCATGCCTGTGCAGGTCTGCAAGCTGTGTGCAGACTGTGTGCAGGTCTGTGGGCATGCCTGTGCAGGTCTGCAAGCTGTGTGCAGACTGTGTGCAGGTCTGTGGGCATGCCTGTGCAGGTCTGCAAGCTGTGTGCAGACTGTGTGCAGGTCTGTGGGCATGCCTGTGCAGGTCTGCAAGCTGTGTGCAGACTGTGTGCAGGTCTGTGGGCATGCCTGTGCAGGTCTGCAAGCTGTGTGCAGACTGTGTGCAGGTCTGTGGGTATGCCTGTGCAGGTCTGCAAGCTGTGTGCAGACTGTGTGCAGGTCTGTGGGCATGCCTGTGCAGGTCTGCAAGCTGTGTGCAGACTGTGTGCAGGTCTGTGGGCATGCCTGTGCAGGTCTGCAAGCTGTGTGCAGACTGTGTGCAGGTCTGTGGGCATGCCTGTGCAGGTCTGCAAGCTGTGTGCAGACTGTGTGCAGGTCTGTGGGCATGCCTGTGCAGGTCTGCAAGCTGTGTGCAGACTGTGTGCAGGTCTGTGGGCATGCCTGTGCAGGTCTGCAAGCTGTGTGCAGACTGTGTGCAGGTCTGTGGGCATGCCTGTGCAGGTCTGCAAGCTGTGTGCAGACTGTGTGCAGGTCTGTGGGCATGCCTGTGCAGGTCTGCAAGCTGTGTGCAGACTGTGTGCAGGTCTGTGGGCATGCCTGTGCAGGTCTGCAAGCTGTGTGCAGACTGTGTGCAGGTCTGTGGGTATGCCTGTGCAGGTCTGCAAGCTGTGTGCAGACTGTGTGCAGGTCTGTGGGCATGCCTGTGCAGGTCTGCAAGCTGTGTGCAGACTGTGTGCAGGTCTGTGGGCATGCCTGTGCAGGTCTGCAAGCTGTGTGCAGACTGTGTGCAGGTCTGTGGGCATGCCTGTGCAGGTCTGCAAGCTGTGTGCAGACTGTGTGCAGGTCTGTGGGCATGCCTGTGCAGGTCTGCAAGCTGTGTGCAGACTGTGTGCAGGTCTGTGGGCATGCCTGTGCAGGTCTGCAAGCTGTGTGCAGACTGTGTGCAGGTCTGTGGGCATGCCTGTGCAGGTCTGCAAGCTGTGTGCAGACTGTGTGCAGGTCTGTGGGCATGCCTGTGCAGGTCTGCAAGCTGTGTGCAGACTGTGTGCAGGTCTGTGGGCATGCCTGTGCAGGTCTGCAAGCTGTGTGCAGACTGTGTGCAGGTCTGTGGGTATGCCTGTGCAGGTCTGCAAGCTGTGTGCAGACTGTGTGCAGGTCTGTGGGTATGCCTGTGCAGGTCTGCAAGCTGTGTGCAGACTGTGTGCAGGTCTGTGGGTATGCCTGTGCAGGTCTGCAAGCTGTGTGCAGACTGTGTGCAGGTCTGTGGGTATGCCTGTGCAGGTCTGCAAGCTGTGTGCAGACTGTGTGCAGGTCTGTGGGTATGCCTGTGCAGGTCTGCAAGCTGTGTGCAGACTGTGTGCAGGTCTGTGGGTATGCCTGTGCAGGTCTGCAAGCTGCACTTCAACCCGACCTTCCTCCTCTCCTGCACCTCATACCTTGATTTATGGATGTCCTTCAAGAATAACATGTCATAAATGTTCCCAGGTATGGTCTGGGTTAGCTGATGCTGTTCTTGTAGATGCCATATTACCACAGGCTGAGGACGAGCCACTCGGTACTTGTTCCAGCAGACCTACACTCACTGGTGCTGTCCCAGCTGCCTCCTCAAGCACCCAGGCTGTGTGCGTGTGTAATGCATGTATAATGCATGTCTGGCATGTGTTGGGCACGTGCATGATACATGTCTGGTGTGTGTTTGGTGCGTGCGTGGAGCGTGCCTGGCACATGCGTGATGCATATTTGGCATGTCCATGATGTGTGTCTGGCACGTGTTGGGCACATGTTGGGTGCACGCACGATGCACGTCTGGTACATGTTTGGCACATGAGTGATGTGTGTCTGGTGTGTGCCTGGCACATGCATATGTGTGTGGTGTGTGCATGATGAGTGTTGGGGTCATGTTTGGTGAGTGCATGATGCAGGTCTGGTGCGTGTTTGGCATGAACATGGAGAGTGCCTGGCACATACTTGACCCATGTGTGGCGTGTGCGTGATGCATGTCTGGTGGGTGCCTGTCATGGACGTGGGGATCTGGTACGTGCATGGCACATGTGTGGCACATGCGTGGCATATGTGTGATGCGTGTCTGGTGACCAGGAACATTTTAACGCTGAAACGGAACCAGGCTTTCCTTTGAGAAGTTGGAAGACTGAGGGGCAAACCAGAGCTTTGAGTGACTGACCCCAGGGCCCCTGCTTTGGCGAGGTGGTTAGTGCCGTCAACATGATAGCATGTAGAATCATCTGGGAAAGGGGTCGCTGGGCATGGGAGATTGTCCCTGATTAATTGAGATTGGAATACCAGCCTGTGGGTGGGACCATTCACTCAGAGGATCCTGGATTGGATGATGTAAGTGAATGACAGCATGCATGTGTTGTTCTCTTCTGACTGGTAAAGTCATGTGACTAGCCACCACAAGCTCCTGCTTGGGGTCCTGACATGATTGACCACAGCCATCAAGCTGTGGGCAGAAATAAACCCATCCTTCTTTTTAAAGATATTTATTACTTTTATTTTATGTGTATGAGTGTTTTGCCTGCATATGTAAGTATGCCAATGTGCGTGCAATGCCCACAGGAGCCAGGTGTCAGTCCCCTGGAAGTGGAGTCATGGATGGGACAGTTTTTAGTCACCATGTGGGTGCTGGGATTCAAACCAGGGTCCTTTGGAACAACAGCAAGTGTTGTTAACTGCTGAGCCATCTCTCCAGTCCCCAAACCCATCCTTCTTGAAATTATTTGGCAGGGTATTATATCACAGCAACAGAAAAGTAGCAAAGACAGGGCATCTGCAGAGATGAGGAGCCTCCTGTCTGAATCTCGTCCTACCCAAGGGGTGGAGAAGGCCTGTATAGGCTTACACTGAGACCCTGTGACAAGGCTTTGAGTACAAGAGGTTTACTTGGGAGATTTTGCCAGGAAGCCCCAACAGGGGAATGGGGAAGTCAGCAAAAATCAAGCATCAACGAGTGAGCCTGCACTGTGGGCAGCTGACTAGGAGTTAACGTGATGAAAGACCTGTTCTCTTAGGGGAGAACGATGTACTTTGGCTCTGTTTCAGAGGTCTCGGTGCATCATAACAGGGAGGCTGTGCTAAAGTAGCTGACATCATGGCTGACAGAAGAATGAATGAGTACTGGGAGACTTCTCCTTTGTCCCCTTTCATTCCATCTCCAACCTGTAGAATGATGTCAACCACATTCAGGGCCAATCTCCCTTTCTTGAATCTCTCTGGAAACACCCTCAAAGACACACATAAAAATATGCTTTGCTAATCTCTTTGGTGAGCCTCAATCAAGTTGACAATCAAGGTTAACTATCATAGCAGTGGAGGCTTGTTCCACTGCAGACAGCTGGGGCCAGTGTGCAACAGACCAGAGCTGCCCTCCCTGAGGGGTCATTTCATTTCTCATTAGCTGAGGGATATCCTGAGGGAATCAACACCCAGACACTTCCAGGGTGCTTTGTGCAATTCCTGGGCAAGCCCTGGGTTGGGGAGTCAAGAGGGCTGGAGGAAGAGCAGCACCAGGACTAGAAGAGCATAGGGTAGGGCAAGGCTAGAGATCATCCAGGACAAACTTCCAACCTTAAAGCCTACCTCCATGGCCCATAGCTGCCTAGATGTCCCCTTGCCCTGGCAGGCTTCCTGTACGTATTTGCCTTCTACCCTTCTAGCAGTGGGAACATGTAATTCATTATCTTTCTCCACCTCTCTCTGAGCAGCTGGAAACTACTTTCCCTGAGGACACGTGACCCTGTCCTGCTTCCGTCACACACTGCTGCATGCCTTTCCATTTTCTCCTCTTCATGGAAGTCTTTCTAGATATCCCCCATGAGCCATATCCCTGCCTCTCTGTGCTCCATGTTTGTTCCTGGAGCCCATCACTGTAGTGAACAGTGTCCTCTGTCATACTTGTTTGATAATTGTCAGTTGTCTTACATCAAAGATGTCTGAGAGGTCAGTGTGGACTTTGCCCAACCCACTGCAGTATCCATCACATGGATGAGGACTGCAGGCTTTAAATGACGGTGTGGTCTGAGTCTCAGGGCATCAGGCATGGATTTTGGCCTCCCATTCAGTTTTCCAGACACTGTGGTGCCCATTCTGGATTCCATCTCCTTCCCCAAGGTGCCAGATCCCATCTCTGACTGGGCACAATGCATTTTCCTGGTGGTTTTTCTCTTGGTCTCTCAACAGGATGATGGTCAGGCAAGGAGAGAACAAGGTCCTGCTCTTTACCCTGGATGTTCAGGACCATTGATCAGGAAGGACCAACAGCTCCTGGGCCAGTGGCTCTGGCTACCTCTCACCTCTGCCTCCCAATAGGAAATTCTGTGAGACTAACCGTGAATCAGGGACAAAGTGAGGCTCAAACAAACAAGTCACACAGCCTATTCCTACTTTGACTGGACCCACCCAAAGCCTCCTGCTGACTGACTGTGTGATGGTCACCCTGTTCCCCATCCCCCGCCCCCAGTCTCAGTCTGGTTGTGGGACCCTGAGGACTTGAAACCCCCAACTCACAGCTCCCACAAGAGTCACAAGGAGCAAAGATAGGCACCAGCAAGTAACTTTTATTCCTTCTCTTTCTCTGACTTGACGGTTTGGAGGTTCAGCTTGGGGAGCATCGTCTCCTGGGTGGTCCTTGTCAGCCTCCGCTTCAACTGCTAGAGGTGGTGTTTCCTGCTCCAGCTAGCCAGGTCCCAACGACTGACCCTGCAGTGCCCAGGAGGAAGTTGGTTGATGCAGAGAGTCCAGCTGCCCCTGTGGAGAAGAGGAGTGACAGGCAGTGACTTGAAGCCCAGAGATCCTCAGCCCACTCTCAGGGCTTTAGAGGAGATACTCCAAGTGGCCCAGAGGGAGAAGACAGATTTGTGCAGAGATACAGGAGAGCTAGTCACCCTCTTCACACAGGAGACCACTGACAGCCAGAGGGGAGGAGACTGAAGGTCACTTAGGTGTCATATGGGACCAGAGTTGAAACCAGAGCCCAGGCAAACATGTCATCCTTCACCAGGGACACCACACCCCAGCCTCATTCAGAAAGAGCCAGAAAGGAGGGACAGGGGTAGGAGACTAAGTCCAAGGAAAATGAGGATCAAAGGCCTGCAGAGAGCAGACAGAAGCACCCCTGCTTCCCCTACCCCACCGGACCTCAGGCCTCTCAGCTGGGTCCTGGCCTGCCCCCTGGTGCTCCCGCAGGCCCTGACACTCACCAGCAGACTGCAGGGTGGCCACCAGGCTGCCTGCTGCGACTCCGCCCCCATTGGCCACTGCGGCAGCAGACATCATCTTGGCTGCTAGGGAGGAGGCTGCGATTCCTGCCCCAGTGAAGCCCATGGCGGCCAGCACGGCAGGTGCACTAGCCACAGCCGCAACTGTGGGGAGAAGAGCTGGGTCGGGTGGCCTCCGGGGAAGGGCACCCTAAAGAATTCACTCTTAGTTCCTGGGGACTTTGTGCTCTGAGCATCTAGGAGACAACAGCTTGCAAGGGGGTCCCAAGTTAAGAAGGGGTGAGCGTGGGGCCAGGTGGGGCACAGAGGTCAGCTAAGGTCACGCCCTAAACCTTCTGTGTGACGCGGAGGAAGTCGATGGCCTTCACTGGGCCTCAGGTTGTGAGGGATGAAATTAACCACTGCCATTTTCTGTAGCCGCCCACCCCCAAACTCGACCTTCGAAACTCATTATACATAACGAAACTGAGCCGGAAACCGGAAGTTCGTCCCTTCAGGCAGCCAGGCTGTTCCACCCAGGTAGATGGAGAGCCCAGCGCAGGGCCAGTGCTGGGAGTGGCGCCCTGCATCCCACAGCGCAATCTCCCCAACACCCAGCAAACCACCCGCGCAGGAAACTAACCTCCTCCGATCGCCATGGCAGCATATTCTAGGGAGAGAAAAGGGGGCCGGGGGAGAGGAAGTTATAGTTGGTGGATGGAGAGAGCCTTTGGCGGGCTGCGGTGGGGGCTCCCTGCCCCACGCCCAGGAGATGCGCGACTTACCCAGCATGGTGAGGCTCCTGTTCCCGACTCAGCTGGGGAAATGGCAATGGTCTGGAGAGACCTTACTTGCTGGATACCGAGTTGGTGGATGGAGAGAGCCCTTGGCGGGCTGCGGTGGGGTCTCCCTGCCCCACGCCTAGGAGATGCGCGACTTACCCAGCATGGTGAGGCTCCTGTTCCCAACTCAGCTGGGGAAATGGCAATGGTCTGGAGAGACCTTACTTGCTGGATACCGTTGGGCGGAAAGCCTCCCTCTCTCTGCAAATCAGCCCTGGACTGGAGATTAGGAGGGCGAGGAGGGAGAGTAGGTAGCACTCAGGCTCCGCCCACCCGCTCCTCCCACCCCTTAGGGTCCAGCGGGGGCAGGGTTCTCCCCTACTTCATCCTTAAGCACTCTGACCCTGAAAGTCTTGCAGATGGGACAAGCGCCAGCCTGTAATCTAGCAACACCCCCAGCAAGAGATAGTTAACAGCCATTTGCTGCAAAATAATTTTTAAAAAAACCACACGCGCGGACACACACACACACACACACACACACACACACAAACTGGGACAGGCACATACTTTGGAAAAATGTTGATGCAAAATAACACACCTCTTAACCTCAAGGGGATAAAAGACAGTATGTGTTAGGTTCCGTGAAAAGACCAGGACTATAAGAGAACACTCTGGGGCCAGAAAAGGAGAAATTTATTGGGATGTACGAGCTGCTGGACTGCTCCCACAGGAGAGAGGGAGCAGTGATTTTATAGCATTTTTTTTTTTTTTTGTGGGTAGGGGGAGGTGAGACTGTAGCCGGTCCCTGGGTCGGGGGGAGGGGGGTTCAGTTAGGTGATTTCAGTGTTCACGTTGGCTGCGATGGAAAATTGCTGTTATAATCAAGGTGCATTTTTAAAACAAGATTCACGTGGTTACTGAGAAACTAGAATGGTTTAGTTTCTGTTTCCCAGAATGCTGCCCACGAGATTGTGAGCTCCATGTTGCTGTTCAGTAGTGACTCATCTTGAGGCTCAGTTGGGCCTAACTGTATGTTCTGGAGCCAAACATGAGTGCCAATAGCCTGGGAACACACAGATTTAAGTCACCTCAAGTTTCATTTTTCCAACATGGTAACAGTTTGATGAAGTTTTTATGGTAATAGAACAAAGAAAGTCCTAAATCAAGACCCTTGTAGATACATCAGTGGAAACAGGAAGTAGGCAGGAACCTTTGCTCTAGGAGGCCTCAACTGCTAGCTGATGGGATTGTTAGGGAGCTAGATTCTGTTTGCTCATTCCAAAGGATTCACCTAATGGTCACCAAGATGTCAGGTCAGGTACAGAGGAGGGCAGGAAGTGGTTATGAAGAGGGTTAGAGATGAGCCAAGGTAAGTAGGCTCTGGCTTGCAACATTCCAAACCTTTCACCATCACTGACATTCTGATCGGGTAGGTAATCAGTCCTGCAGAAACACCATAAAAGATGCAACTTCTTTATGGGAACTTCTGTTCACAAAAGCAGTATTTAATTTAATCATTATCATGCAGAGGAAGGACAGTGACATATTGCAGGGCATTTTCTTCCTGTCTCTGTTACTCCTGAAATTTGCAGCCTCTACCAGGTACCTATGACACTGTGCAAGCTGATCCTTTTATTTACTTGGCTGTTGTTTAGATTTTTGCAGGCTAATACATGTCAATGAGATTTTTAAAAGACAAGTTTTTGAGGTATAATTAATACAAAATGCCATCCTTTTTGTGCAGGCTTCCATAGCAGTAGAAAAACTTTTGCACTTAGTTATGAGATTACAGGCTCAGATTGAGAATGCTCTATCATTCCTCTCCTACCCTATTTGTCCCATTGTCCTTTGTGGTCATTCCACATAGCTCAGCCACTGCTGATCACTGTTCAGTCTCTTTATATCTTTCTAGAATGCCACATATCAACCATCTTATAGTCTGTCCTGTGAGTATGTCCAACCTCCTGTTTGAAAGGATATAAATTATAATATTTGCTTTATAAGTTATCTTGGCATGAAGGGCTGACATCACAAGGCTCAATGTTTTCTGATTATATATTCCTAGACATGAATCTGAATCTCAGTTTTCTTGATTCCCAAAACCAGTTTGTTAGCTTGGACTCTCCTAGAAGTATATAGGCAGACTTTCCCATACCCCCTCATTCCACAGCAGGTAGACTTAGATTTATCATTTCCTTGTATGGGGGAATGATTTAGTGTTAGAGCACTTATCTAGCACTGGTGAGGCCCTAGGTTCCATCCCCAGCATGGCAAAGTTAAACAAAACATACAAAAAACAAACAACAATAACAACAACAACAAAAACCCAGTAACTATTAACAGGTGAAAAATTGAAATAGTGACTTTGTTTACAGGTCTTTTACTTCCAGTGAGATTAAACAGTTTTTAAGTTTATTAGAGTTATTCAGTCTCTATTTTGTGAATTATCTTTTCTCATTTTTGTGCCTATTTGCTATTGAAATATTTTTCTTTGGGTGCTGGGGAGATGGCTCAATGGCTAAGAGCAGTTGCTGCTGTTCAGCTCCCAGCACCCATGTTGGGTGGCTCACAAGCACTTGTAACTCCAACTCCAGGGGATCCAACACCCTTTTCTAGCTTCCCCAGACACCAGCACACATGTGGCACACACACACATACACTTGGGTTTTGTTTGTATTTTGATCTTTTTGAGACAGGGTCTCCCTGGAGCCCCAGCTGGCCTGGAACTCACCATTAAACCAGGCTGGCCTTGATCTCACAGAGATCCACCTGCCTCTGCCTCCCAAGTTCTGGGACTAAAGGCGTGCGCCACCACACCTGGTATGTATACTATATTTTCTTTGCCCAATAATCTGTTGATGGAATCTCAATTCACTGCATATCCTGGAGGAAACAGCTATACCACGCTCCTCTACTATGCTGACAGGAGTCATATATGATACACCAATATACTGCTCAAACTATCAAACCAAAAACAACTGAAAGAGGATATTTGGAAGAGTATGCATTAAATGTATGCTCAAGCACCGTGACATCAGTGACATGTAGAATCAGTGGCTTCCGTCCATTTATATTTGGATTTTAGATGATAATAGTCAATGAAAACTCTTGGTGCTGTTCAAAAAATGTTATGAAACAAGGGCTTAAGAAATGCACCTATGGGACTGGAGAGATGGTGCAGTGGTTAAGAGCACTGGCTGCTCTTGTAGAGGACCCAGGTTCAGTTCCCAGCACCCACATGGCAGCTAACTCCAGTTCCAGGGAATCTGAGACCCTCTTCTGTCCTCCACATGTGGTACACTTATATCCATGCAGGCAAAACACACACACATGAAAACAAATTTTAAAAAAGAAATATCCACATTTTCATCTATCTGCATCCAGTCACCATGAATGTGGCAGTTGAAAATACAGACTGATGGAAGTTCCTCTGCTACAATAACGAGGCTTTCTGAGAGGGAAAGGACTCTTGGTGCAGCTTAGAGGAAACCAAAGTCAGTCTTTTCCTGACTTGCCACATGAGTGTGTTTCAGGAAAACACCATTTGCATGCAAACCATGCAATGGGTAACACCTGAAAACACCTAGTGACTTCTAGGCTTGGATAAGTGTTTTGCTTATAGGAAATGACCTTAAAGTTGGGCTGGGTGGTGCATGTGTGTAACCCCAGCACTCAAGTTGCTGAGGCAGCAGTGTGACCTGAGGATAGAACTGAGTTGGTCAGGCTTGGCATCACAAGCCGTGATTGTTGACCTTCTAGTCTGACCCCAGCCCTTACTTCCCAAAGCCATGAATCAAAAGACCTAAGGTAACTAAACTCTGCAGTAATAACTCATTCCTTAGTAAGAAACCCAGTGTTTAAATTTTTTTGTTTTTTAAATTGCAAGACACAGAAAGAAGAATGTCATCTATAGTCTAGAGAAAGTATTACTTCATAGAGAATTTCACCAGTGAACCCTCTGTTAGAATTATCAGAAAAGCTTCACATAATTATGCCTCGTGTGTCATAGAGGCTGTTTAAAAATGAGGATTGGAGAAATTTCTCCAATAGGAAACTGAAAAATACAGTAAGATTCAATTAAATCCAAAGTAGAAGAAAATAAATAAAAGGCAGAAGCAAAACAGAAAACAAATGAGAGAAAAATGAGCATTTTTACATATAAATAGCATAGAGTCACCAGAACACGACACAGGATGATGGAATGACATGAGCAAGTTTATGCTATAAATTTGATGATATAAATAAAATGGGAAAACTATTTGGGAAATAAACTAACTGAAGAAGAAGGAAAAAAAAAACTAGGACACCTCTCTAGCAGCCTGGGAACACAGGATGCCCAGATTATCTCTCAGCACTAAATTGTTACAGGTGCACGCCTGTAATCCCAGCACTTGGGAGGCAGAGGCAAGCAGATCTCGGTAGACAAGGCCAGTCTGGTCTACATAGTGAGTTCCAGACCAAGTGGGGCTACAGGGAAACCCTGTTTCAAAAAGACCAAAAAACAAACAAAAAATACAAATGCACGTGTACACCAGTAAATATCCTGAAGAAATCATTAGCAAGTAGAATCTACCAGTACATAAGAGTCATGACAGGGAGAGAAGGGACACCCTGAATCTTCAGGCAGGCTGTGTGAGGTAAGCATTGGGGGACAGGTTGAGGGGGTCTAAGAGTTCAAGAGGAGGGGTAGTGACTGCAGGAAGGGGCAGGGTGCTAGCTTGACCCAATATGATCTAGTCACCTCAGGCTCTGGCTCCCATCTGTCCCTAGCAACATTTGGCCCTGGTTCCCATCTGTGTCTAGCCACCCCCAACCTTGGACTTGGCACAGGTTATACCCCTCCAGCCAGAAATTCTCCTCAGTTGGCCATCTTGCCCCCCCCGCCCCCCCCTACAGCTGTGCTCACTCACGGCTGGAGTGGAGTCGGCAGCCACCTGTGTCTAATCACAGTCTGGGTAGTTGTAAGCAGCCTTGGGCCATGTGCCAGAACTCTTGGGACTGTCAGGGATCCCCCAGTATGCCTGTGTTTGAGACTAATAGAGCTGCCAACAGTCCTGTGTTGGGGTGAACCAGCCCTAGGAGCTTCTCTTTTAACACTGAATCCTGACCCTGCTTCAGATGCACCTGCAGCCCTGCCCTGAGGGTGGAGGGTGTGGATTTCAACCTCCCATTGAGTTTTCCAGACAGTGTGGTGGCCATTCTGGATTCCATCTCCTTCCCAGAGGTGCCAGATCCCACCTGTGACATAGCACAATGCATTTCCCTGGTGGTTTTCTGTTGGTCTGTCAACAGGATGGTGGTCTGAGAAGGAGGGAGCAGTGTCTGGCTCCTTACCCTGGATGTCCAGGACCATTGATCAGAAGGATCAAGAGCTCCTGGGTCAGTGGTTCTGGCTACCTCTCATCTCTACCTCCCAACAGGCAACTCTGTGAGCCCAACACTGAATCAGAGACAAATTGAGAGGCAAACAGACCTACAGACAGGCCACACGGCCCATTACTACTTTGACTGGATCCACCCAAAGCCTACTGGTTACCCTGTCATACCCCCACATCTGATCTCCAGGCTGTCTGGCTGTGGGACCCTGAGAACTTGAAACCCCCAGCCCACAACTACAAAGGAGCCACAAGGAGCAAAGGTAAGCACGCCAACAATAACTTTTATTCCTTCTCTTCCTCTGACTTGAGTTGGACTTTTTGAGGTTCATCTTGAGGGTGCACTGTCTCCTGGATTGTCCTCTTCAGCTTTGAGTTCAACTGGGGGTATCCTGAGTATTTCTTGATCTCCCTAACCAAGCCCCAATGCCTGCTCCAGTAGAGGCCAGAAGGATGTTGGATGGTATAGAGAGTCCAGCTGCCCCTGGGGAGGACACGAAGAAGTGACAGGCTGTGGCCCAGGGCCCAGAGATCCCCCACTATCCCTAGGTCTGAAACACCTAGGGCTCTCCTGTAGACAGAGACATAGGGCACAGGGCACAGGCACCTGTGAGAGACAGGTAGAAGACATATGACACTGAGGATCAAAGGACAACAGGGAGCCATCCCTTCCCTGGATTGGACCTTTGTTCTCTTGCCTGCTTGGACACTCACGCAGACTGCAGGGTGGCCACCAGGCTGCCTGCTGCGACTCCTCCCCCGTTGGCCACAGGGGAAGCTGACATCATGTTGGCTGCTAGAGAGGAGGCTGCGATTCCGGCCCCAGTGAAGCCCATGGCACCCAGCACGGTGGGCACAGCAGCCACAGTCACAACTGTGTGAAGAGCTGGGTTGGGTGGCCTCAGGGGAAGGGCACCCTAAAGCATTCACTCAGTCTCTAGGGAGTTTGTGCTCTGAGCATCTGGGAGAGAGCAACTTGCAAAGGGGTCCCAAGGTAAAGTTGGGCGTGGAGCTAGGTGGGGCACAGGGGTCAGGGTAGGAGCACTCGTAGTTCTGGCGTTGCCCCTGCCTCGCTGTGTGGCGCTAGGGAAGTCGCTCTCCTTCACTGGGTTTCAGGTTTGTAGGGGATGAAATTAACCAGTGCCATTTTCAGCAGCTGTTCCTCCCCCGCCCCCCAACAAGCTCTCGCGTTGCTTCTTATTGACTACAAGGCAGGGAGTAGAAGCTGGGCAGGCCCTGGGAGCTGGGCAGTAGAATGTACTGAGGGACCCTGTTTTTCCCAAAGAGCTTCAGTCAAGGAGCTCAGGAGAGGGCGGTCGCTGGGAGTGGCCTCCAGATCCCCGGGGCAGTATCCCCCGTTGGCGGCCACCCTGGTGTAGAAACAAACCTCCTCCAATCACAGCACAGGTCGCTAGTACTAGGGAGATAAATGGGGTAGGTAGAGGTTATAGTTGGTTGATAGAACCTTTAGGATGCTAGGGTGGGTAAGGTCCCACCCCCTCCCCCCCACACAGCCCCCCATCCTAGACCCTCCACAAGCCAGACCCAGGGAGAACAGCTACTTACTCAACATGGTGAGGTGATCTGATTATCCCAAGTAAGATCTGGAAATCCCTAGGCTTGGTTGGGTGTCACTTGTGAACCAATGGGGAGGTGGCCCGCCCCTCACAAAAGGTCAACACCCCCAGCAAGATCAGGGCCACAGTGCTTACTTAGCCCAACTGCCTGCCCTAGGCTAGGTGAGTTTCCTCAGGTGGTTTTCTCTCCTGCTTATTAATGGAAAGGGATTGCAAATCCCCTGAGAGTTTTGCATGTACGGTGTAATTTGATACCTACCCCAATTGAAGTAACATCTGTTCTTTTCAACATTAAAAAAAAGAAAAAAGAAACAACAGAGAGGAGTGAGAGACAGAGACGGAGAAACAGTATTTAATTTAATCTCCAGAGGGAAATGATAAGTTTTAGCCCATTCTGTTCTGTCACTATCACAGCTGAGCATGTAACCTCATCCTCACCCAGGTTGGGATCACATTGTACAAGCTGCTTTGCAAATGACTCATTTAATTGCCCATTTAGATTTTTTTCAGGCTGTCAACAAGAAATTTTTGTAAGCCAAGTTTATTCAGGCATAATTTACACAAAATGCTATCCTTTTAGTGCAAGTTTCTATAACTTTGGAAGAATCTTTATACTTAGTTATTGCAAACACCACCTCAGAGAATCCTCCTGACCTCTCTTGCCCAAATTGTCTGTCCATTGTTGTTTTTGAAAGATCTGCTATAGAGAAAGAAAAACCATCTTTGTATAACTTAGACATTAGTACCTAGGCTTAGTAAAAGAAGGATGGGAGGGAGGGGGGAGGGAAACCAAGTTGTTAGAGTGTAATCACCCAACCGGCACCTGGCTGCTGAGAAACCCGGAGAAGCCCCAAACCCATAAAACATGAAAGAACCAAACAAAAGGCAGCTTCACAAGATGAGGCAGTATTTCTCAAGCTGCCAGGCAGGGCGCCATTCGGCCGGGAGGGCCGGAGATAACCTATGGATTTTGGATTTTCAAGCCTGAAAAAGGGAACTGAGCTGATAAGCACCTTGGCCTTTGAAGTCAAGGGAAGCAGACTCTTCTAAGGCAGCCTGTCTTTCCTCTGATCTCCAAAGACAAGATAAGCAGATTCTGCCTGTTAACCAGAGATTTTAGGAGCTGTTTAGCACAGCAGCTTTTCCCTTATCTTAAGAGGACCAAAAAGTAAACACTTCCTGACCCAGAACCTGGCTGGCAGACAGAATGGAGCCAGGTTTACAAGTCCTGCTTTTCCTGCTTCCCCTCTGCTTGATTTTTCCCCCAAACTCTGCCCCCTTCTGCACCCTGAAGCCCCCGAATATAAGTCCCAGCTCACAACCTGTGGGCTGACATTTTTCCCTTCCCTGAGGGGAACGTGTCCTGTGCAAAATCAAGTTCTATCCCACTAAGAGTTTTATCTGTGTCTCAGTGCCTCAGCCTCCATTCACTCTTTCTCACCCAAATTTTTACCTATCAGTTTTTAGTCAATGTACCACAGCCACTACTTATCCAGCTTCAGTCTCTACACATGTGCCTTTCTGACACACTTGCATATTTCCGTCTTATATTCTGTCCTGTGGATATGTTCTAATGCACTCTACCAGCCTCCCTTTTTTAAGGGCATAAATTCTAATAATTGCCCTCATTAGTTATGTCAGCATGAAATGTGAACATAATGGGGTGTATTTTGTTTATATCTCCTTAGCTGTGAATTTGCATTCCCAGTTTCCTTGTTCCTCCAAACAGAGTTGTTAGCGTACACTCTCCCAGAAGTATGTGGGAGAACCCTCCTCCCTCCCTCTCACTAATTGCTCACGACCAATTAGCTTTGTTAAAAAAAAAAAACAAAAAAAAACCTTTTTGAGTTGGAGGCCAGCCTGGTCTACATAGTGAGTTCCAGGACAGCTGGGGCTACAGGGAGAGCTTGTCTCAAAAAGAACCCCCCCCAAAAAACCCCATCTTTTCTTGGCTGGGGTTATAGCTCAGTGTTAGAGCACTTGACCAGCTCTAGTGAGGCCCTAGGTTCATCCTCAGAATGGCAAAATAAAACACAACAAAAACCCCAAGTTGTTAATTTAATAGGTGAAAAGTTGAAATGGTGACTTTCGTGTTTAAATTTCCTTTTTCTTTTCAGAAGATTAAACAATTTTGAAGTTTAAAGGCTTTCTCAGTCTTTATTTTGGGAATTATCTTTATTAAAAAAATATTTCATGTTTCACGGCTGGGTGTGGTGATGCATGCCTTGTGTGAAGTTATGTGCACATGAATGCAGGTGCCTGTGGAGGCTGGAGGCACTGGCTCCCCATATAGCTGTAGTTACAGGTGGTTGTGAGCCCCCTGATGTGGGTGCTGGGGGCTAAACTGAGGTCTTCTGCAACAGCAAGATCTCCTAACCGCTGAGCCATTGCTCTAGCCTCAAATTCTCTTATTCTTAGGCCTCTTTCCTGTTGAAATACTTTTCCTCACTGATCTTTATTAATGCCCTTAATCCATTCTTATACACCCTACAGATGTTTGTTTCTAGTTCATCTTTCTCTCTCCTCCTCTTCCTCCTCCTCCTCCTTCTCCCTCTCTCTCTCTCTCTCTCTCTCTCTCTCTCTCCCCAGAGTCTTGCTGTGTAGACCAGGCTGACTTGGAGCCTGAAATCCTCCTACCTCAGCCTCCTGAGTGCTGGGCCTAGCTCAGGGTATTTTTGTTTTTTGATAATTTGGTGACTCTTTACACAGAAAGGTTTTTAATATGTTCCCAAAATTGCCAATATTATTAACCTTTCTGTATAAAAAGTCACCAAAATATTACTCATATATACTGGTATATTTGTATATGTGAATATCCATATACTTATACATGTACTTACGTGTATCTGTATGTATACCAGGATACTATTTGAAATTTTATATGACATGCCAAAGACTCATGTCTTCTGCCATCAATGTCACACTCTTTCGATGCTTATCAATTTATTATTTGATTTAAAATTTGTGACTGCCTGAGCAGTATAATCCTTAATTCAAGGGACGTAAGGGCACACTTTATTGTGAAGTTTAAAAATATGCTGTAACCCCCTTGTCATGTGACATTCCTGGGGAGACATACAAAAACATCTGTTTACTGCAAATAGACTCAGCGCTAACAGATCACAGAGTCTATAGGGTTCAGGTAGGTGAATAAATGAGTTCAGTGGGGTCCGTACTGGAGCATGTGAAACTCACGGGCACCTATACCATAGAAAACTCCCACTCCCAGTCAATGTTCTCTTATATCCTTCAGCATTGCTGGGATTACCTACAGCTGGGGCAGGAGTAAGTGGGGCTGGCTGTTGGAATCACAGGTGAGGGTCTCCTGACCTTTCCTCTTCCTTGAGGGACTGTTAATAGCCTGGTTATCATAGACCTAGCTATCACCTGTATTGCTCCGTTTCTCTCCTTGCTGAAACTGTAGATCAGGGGCTTCTGTAGGTCATCAAGGTAGCACCCAGCTTCAGGACAGATGGTCATTATCAAGCCTGGAGGAAACAGCTGTACCACACCCCTTTACTATGCTGACAGGAGTCATGGATGATACCTTCTAGGTACACACAATATACTGCTCAAACTATCAAACCAAAGACAACTTAAAGAGGATTGTTTGTAGTATGCATTAAATATGTATGTGCTGGGTTTGGTGGTGCATGGATGTAATCCCAGCACTCAAGAGACTTGGGCAGAAATGGGTTCTGAGGATGGAACTGAGGTCATAAGGCTTTGGGGACAGGGCCCTTACTTGCTGAACCATGTAGCCTGCTTCCATCCCCTAATTCAAAGTCCCTAAAGAGCTATGAACCAAAAGATCTAAGATCACTAAACTCTGGAGGAATAAATTGCCAACATCTGATTTTAAAAAATTTCCAGGACCTCCCTCTTCTTCCCTGGGCCAGCAGGACTGGCCACAGGCCTCTCTCCTACCCTCAGGCCTCTCTTCAGGGTAAGTCCATTGTGCCCCCACCTTGACTCCCCCAGCCTCATTCACCCTCCCATCTCCCCCGCCTTTCTCTCCTCCTAGTTTGGGTCCTGTCCCATTCCTTGTCTTGGGGCTCCAGATACCTGGGGAACCAATACTGCTTCCTGATCCTTTTCATCCAGACCAACATAGTGCCTTCTCTGAGCCCCAGGAGCACTGCTTCTGGGCCTGCCCCACCCTCACCTCCCTCTGCTTCCCTGGGCCTGTACCACCCACCAGCCTCTTTCTGGGACTTGGGGGCTGACCTTTCCTCTTCCTGATCCTTTGCATCCAGACCAACCCAGCACCTCAGTGTAGTCCCCAGGAGGCCTTGGGGCCTCTTCCCCCTCCATCTGCCTTTGCATCTCTCCTTGGCACGGCCACCAGCTGCCCTAGACCAGCATCTTTCCTGAGCACTGCTCCCAGGCCAGTCCAACCCCCAAATTCCTAAGGCCAAAATCGTTCCTGGAGGCATCTAGACCTTAGGAGAAAGCCTGAAAACATCTGACCCTCATCTGAATTGGGCCTCTGTGGGAACTCCTGAAGACAAAAGCAATCTATCCACTCTAATATAAAATCAAAAGAGAGAACAGGAAGCTTAGGCAAACCAGCATTTCATGCCCCAAAAGTAAACCACAAAGACACATAAAGTTCAC